AGCCATCCACAAAAGTGAAGAAAGGTGATCGCAATAAATCTAAAAAAAATAAAGATGCTAATAATACAACTAAAAAGTCCGCTAAATCAACTAATATCAAGATACCAAGTACTATTATGGATTTGGATGTAATTCGCCAAAGTTTAACGCCTTTATTTTCGTAAGTACTATGATAATTAAAATGAATATTGGAATTACTAGATCATTTTAAATGTAAAATTGTTCATTTTGAAATAAGTGTTTTTATTTAAAATAAAATAGTTTTATCATTAGAAATATTACAATTTATAAATAGACAATCATCTACTCAAAGTGATATTGCATCTAGAAGAAACCATAGCTTTTGTTGCTACATATTGCAAACATGTGAGCAACTTTTGCAACGTACAAAACCATTTGTACAGAATACTTTTCAATTGCAAAATCATCAATACATAAATATGTACATTGATATTGGAAGGTAAGTTCAGATGATATTGTCAATTTTATAATGTAATCATAAAAATGTAATCATACATCATATAATAAAATCATTTTTATGGTTTAGATTACTTTATAAATATTTTATACAAAATCTAGAAGATGCACTTACAGATGATGAACAAGTAACTATATTGGCTTTACAATGTTTCAAAGAAATTTCTTGCTGTATATGTACATTACTCTCATCTGAATTACAAACATTTCTTAATTTAATTTGTACGTATTTATTCAAGAAGTTATATTACTTCGACAATTTTATATTTTATATCACAATTTTATTTATTTTTTCAAGTTGAAGTACGATCTAAGAAAGATTCAAAATCTACGAATATTAATTCTCAACTACAAAAAATTATTTTTTCATTAAATCCTTATTTAAAGAAGTTTCTGACGGTAGAAATGGACAACAATGAGGGGAAGAAAATATCGCTTTTATTATTACAAATAATAGAACAATTTACGTATAAGATTAACTTTGAAGATTATAATTCTGATCAAGTTAGTATATCTCTCATGAAATTATTTTCATTATTTATTATACATTACTTTTCTTTTTTTACTACAAAAGATGCTCGAATGTATGAAAGAAATAATTCAAATGGAAGATATTCAAAGCTCTATTGTCCCTACAGTCATACAATTTTTCTTAAATTTGGAAGAATACAGTCAAGAATATGGAGAAACATTAAATGAAATTTGTATAGAGTTATGTGAAAAAGTTGGAAGCATTGATGGGGTAAGCAATAATTTTTATTATATAATATTCGAAAAAACTTCATTTTTCAAATTAATTTTTATTTTTATCTAAATATAGATTGAATTAAAAACAAATGGTTTATATAAAAGTATACGTGAAGATACAATACTACAAATTTATAATGTATTAAATAGTCATATTAAACAAAAGCTGGATAATGCATCATGGTTGTTGATGCGATTAAAGGCAGAAGATGCTATAGCCAGAGCACCTGGAACAATTGATGAAGGTTTCAAGTATAAATTTGAAATTTGAAATAAAATATTTCATAACAATTACTATAAAAAATTATATTCTCGTAACAGGGAATAATAAGTTAAGAGAAAAGGAACGAAATCTGTGTAGACAACTATCCTATCTTGCTCAAGTACTTCAAACGTTAGCTAATACGTCGATTAAGCCAGGCCCATCCACTGATTTTACCTTAAAAAATTTGCAATATTTATATCATTTACTTGGAGATCTTACAAAGTATTTTTATGCAAAATCGAGTAGCCAGAATGCGGCATTCCAAGCAGTTAAGTATGTGTTGCATATACATACATCGTTTCGTATGTAATTAATGATGTATGTTCCTCAAAGCGATGGATCTTGCTGGTTGCAGATTTATTCAAGTGATACAATTAGCGGGTAAACCATTAAAATCTACTTTTTATAATTTGGTAACATTTATAGAGGTACGTTGAGTTCGAATTTTTCATTTCTTATGAATCAACGATATTCTTGATAATTATTATTTTATTACCCTCTGAAGGAAAATCAAAATAAATTACAATTGAAATCTGACTCATATGCACAAAGGAATAAAATTTTAAAAGAAACCAAAGTAATACCACGTGTAGTATATGAAATTGAGCAATTTAACAAGGAAATATTGTTACTTGGTAAAAAAACGAGCGTAAGTATCAAAGTATTAAATATTTTAATAGTAGTATTTTACTATTTTTATTAGTAGTAATATTTTAATATTTTTAGTAGTAATAATATTTTAATATTAAATATTTTATTCTTTGATACTTTTTATATTAACGATTTTTAATTTGTACACATATATCACTAGGTGCCATTAGAAAATTACATAAAACATAGTATAACGAGAGATTTTAGAATCAAAGATCCACAATTGATAGAAGGACTTGAGAAAATGAATGTCAGTTCGGTAATAAAAGCAAAAGAAAATGTTGTATTATGCATTATTTTCCATAAGGTCGCCTGTGTTGCAATAATCATAAAATATTTTTTAGCTCGATTCATCAGATCTAGAGAACACTGAGAGTGAAATCCAGACCTCGAATGTAAATGATTCTGATAGTAGTAATGATGATGAATCTTCAAAAAAACGATCCAGGATAGAAAATTGAAACATTGTTAATTAAAATACTTAATACTGTCTTATAACAAAAAAATTCCTGTAAAATATTTTTATATAAAAGTTTTTTAATAATACTTAAAATGAAAAATTTTACACATTATATTCATTTTTGTTATCCTATATCGCTTGTTTTCTGTACAGTATATATTCACTTATATAAACTATTTTTTGTATCATTTGTACATCTTATTATTCTGATTAAATTTATAAAAAATAACAGAACTTGCAGAAAATAAGAAATTTCCATCAATGGCAAAAAATTTTATGGAATCATTAAATTTATAATTTTTATGCTACAAAGTCCAATGGTCTATTGAATCCTCCTTTTCTGTTCATATACTGTCTATACTTTCTTTTGAGAATAACATGCACAGCTCCTACATCATTCCCTTTGACCTTTTTGCCTTTAGTACTGTCAAAACCACAAAAACCCATTATTCTCATCATTTCCTGTTCCTCTGGTGTCTTCCCTTGAAGATCAGCCTCTGAAAAATGTTCATTTAGAAAACACTAATTGGTCATTTTCAAATTTATATCATGCCTTTCTAATGTGAGATATACCTGTAATTACAGGACGTTCTGTTGTGGGTTTTAATTTAGGTTTAGGTCTATCTCTTTCTCTTGATCTGGATCTGCTATACGAACGTCTGTGCCTATCCCGCTCACGATCACGATCCCTTTCTCTATCCCTGGACTTTACTCGATCTCGTTCAACAGATCTAAAAATTATTTGAAATTCACTTTCTAATTTTTATATCATTTAATTTTGATGAAAAAAAAATTATACCTTCTTCTTCTTTCGCGGGAGCGTCTTCTTCTGCGATCTCTATCTCGTTCACGTTCCCGATCTCGATCTCGGGACCGATCTCTTCTTCTTCCCGGTGAAGGTGTACGACTACGTCCCATACTTCGTGTTACTTAATTATTTACAATTAACTTAATAATAACGCGATGAAGACTATCGAGTGTATATACACGTACGTTTTTGTACCTCAGCTCCTTGAAATCCTATCTATTGAGTATATAATTAATAAAATGGAGAGGTTATGTTTACACACATTGATCTATGTTAGGTTTGACATTGTATAATATTATACAATATCTGTATCACATAATATCTGCATTTGATATGCTCATATCATACATAAAATAACGATTGATAAAACTATCACTATTTATAATACAATATAGGAATAATATCTGAAGTAGATAATTTTTTAGTACGCGTACCGAGATGTATGCTTTCCCAACAACTCTCCCAACAGATCGACATTTATATATGTATCAACATACATATATATATCACTCCGCATTTTTTGATATAATTTAATAATACTTAAAATATAAAAAGTAGAATTAGTTTTCAATCAAATTGATTATCTGATAGAATCGATACTAATCCATTATTGTTCAGAAAGTTAAGAAGCAACATTATTATTTGTTTTTAAAATACGAATTGCTATTACTTAATTTTAATTTACTAATAAAAGAAGCTTAAAATATTATAAAAAAGTTTTATAAAAAAATATATATTGTGAAATATGTAGAGCAAAAAATATAATATAGATGCCGCTAATTTAAGTGTTAATATCAAAAAAATATTAAGAGGGATAAGAGAAAACAAAATTTTAAATATGAATGGATAGTTTAAGAGTTTTCATCAATGAAAATAACAAGCACATTTAAAAATATAAAAATATTCATTATATATGGAAATGTATTTTGAGTATTAATCTATTTCGAGTTCTATATTCTATATGATGACCGAATTGCAAGTGTTGAAAATATACGTACGCATATTTGTATACGAATAAAAATAGATCACAAGAATTTGCATCATGAACTTCTTGTTCAATTGGCTGCTTACGAGTTGGCTAGCAAGAGCTTGTCCTAGCTACGATATGCTATTTATATCCGTTTATTAGATTTAATCTTAAGTGCGACCTAACCGAGAGCAAACTTGTTAAAATAATTTCTCCTTCTCTCTGTTACTTTTAAATTTTAAGAAACACATTGATCGAACAAAAATTCACCGTTCAACATTAAGTTGAGAAGCTAGTTATCGAAAAGCACTGAAAAAGGAAAATAGATTTTTTTTGATGATTATATTTGCAATTAATTCGAGAATATTTCGAGACGATTCAAAGTGGAAGATATAAGAGGCCGACGACCGTTCTTGTGTTGCATCATTAAGTTTCAATCGTTCAAAGAAGCGGCACCCATTTTCTGTGTATACCTGTTATTCGTCACCAAAAAACGAAGTTCTTTATTTTTACGTAATTGAGATGGTAAGAAAAATTCAACGATCGAAGATGACGGTTGAAGTTACAGTAACGAAAAGTAAAAGATGAAATTAAAAATTTAACTAAATAATAAGTCACTAATGAACCATTTGAACGAGACTGTGTTCATTATTTAAAAAAGTCCCTTAGTTTTCTATGGAAAAGAAGTGGTGATTCGATATTTTAAATTGGATAAGAAGAAATCTTCTTAGAAAGAATTTTTATATTGTTTCAGCGTGAGTGTATATCTATTCACGTTGGTCAAGCTGGCGTTCAAATTGGAAACGCTTGTTGGGAACTTTATTGTTTGGAGCATGGGATACAACCGGATGGACAAATGCCATCAGATAAGTTTGGCGGCGATGACAGTTTTAGTACTTTCTTCAGCGAAACTAGCTCTGGAAAACATGTGCCCAGAGCAGTATTTGTTGATTTGGAACCTACAGTAGTTGGTAAGAGAAGACAAGAACCAATCTTTAAGTTATGAAAGATACTTGAAAGAAGTGGAAAATAGTGGAAAATGGTGATGATATTGACTGTCCTTTGTAGACGAAGTTCGAACTGGGATATACAAGCATCTTTTCCATCCGGAACAACTGATCACTGGCAAGGAAGATGCAGCAAATAATTATGCTCGTGGCCATTATACAGTTGGCAAAGAAATTGTCGACTTGGTTATTGATCGAGTGCATAAATTGGCGGATCAATGTACTGGGTTACAGGGATTTCTTATATTTCACTCGTTCGGCGGTGGTACTGGATCAGGATTTGCCTCTCTGTTAATGGAGCGTCTTTCCGTTGACTATGGAAAAAAGTCTAAATTAGAATTTGCTATATATCCAGCTCCGCGAGTTTCCACGGCAGTTGTTGAACCCTACAATTCCATCCTTACTACTCATACAACTCTCGAGCATTCGGATTGTGCTTTTATGGTTGATAACGAAGCGATCTACGATATCTGCCGACGCAATTTGGATATCGAGAGACCAACTTACACCAATCTTAATAGATTAATCGGGCAGATTGTCTCTTCAATAACAGCTTCATTGCGATTTGACGGTGCTTTGAACGTAGACTTGACCGAGTTTCAAACGAATTTAGTTCCTTATCCAAGAATTCATTTCCCTTTAGTTACGTATGCTCCTGTAATATCCGCTGAAAAAGCATATCACGAACAACTCTCAGTCGCTGAAATCACTAACGCATGCTTTGAGCCAGCGAATCAAATGGTCAAATGCGATCCCAGGCACGGAAAATACATGGCTTGTTGTATGTTGTATAGAGGAGACGTTGTCCCAAAGGATGTGAATGCTGCAATCGCTATGATCAAAACGAAGCGAACGATACAGTTTGTCGATTGGTGCCCCACTGGATTCAAAGTTGGTATAAATTACCAACCACCAACGGTTGTACCGGGTGGAGATCTAGCCAAGGTGCAACGTGCTGTTTGCATGTTGTCTAATACGACGGCTATTGCTGAAGCTTGGGCTCGTCTTGACCATAAATTCGATCTTATGTATGCTAAAAGAGCCTTTGTTCATTGGTACGTTGGAGAGGGGATGGAAGAAGGTGAATTTTCTGAAGCCCGTGAGGATCTTGCAGCTCTTGAAAAGGACTACGAAGAGGTTGGATTAGATTCAACTGAGGTGGAAACAGATAACGTAGATGAATACTGAATATTTTGCTCGCATTCTTCAGTTCTTCAGTCCATTATTCATTAATTTTCTCAATTCGATTCACCATTTAACTTCGATTCTCGCAACACCTCTTCTTTGTCTCTTCTAAAATTTCTACTCCCCGAGAAATCTTATTAAGAACAAGTATTTTTATCTTACATTTGATATTACAAGAAGAAAAGACAATTGTATATAAATTTTGAGAAGAAAGTATAATGTTCTGTTATAAGAGATATGATTAAAAAAATATATATGATATATATATATATCATATATGTATATGAGACGTATAATGTACTTACATACAATAACTTGACTAGGGGCGGCACAAGAAGGAATAAGGACATATTTGGAATAGAGAGATTGAAGATTAGAAGCCAAAATCATACCATGAGGAATTATATCCCAGATATTTTCTCGTCAATTAGAGACGTATTTCTTTTGTTTTGTTTTATTGCATTACACAAACGGGGCTGGGGAGGCAAAATTAAATAGCGGATTAAATAGTTCAGCGCGACGCTTTAACAAATTAAAAACGTAAAAACATTAACAGTACAATATAGTTTCTTATCGTACTTAGATGTAATGCGATGGCAGTCTTGAGTCCTGGAAAGATGCTGTGATTGTTGCACGGTTATTTCAATTTGAAATTTTCTATGTTCTATTTCCTATTTTCTATTTTCATTCGTCTCCGGTATATGCATTTTTTTTTTTTTTCTTTTTTTTGACTCGTTTTGCGATCTTCGACTCTTCTCTGTCTCGCGGCCTTAATCTTCATTCAATAACTGTTCTTTTATTTGCGATAAGCTTTTGCTCGTGGCAGTGTCTGGAAAATAGAAAATCGAAAGGGAAACTTTTCATAAAGTACGATCCAATAACGGCAATTCTCATTATTCGTGATGCATCATAAAAACAGAGATCGATTAAACAGCACGATTTTCAAAGATCAGTCAACAAAAGATGAGTTGCACATAGTTCCGAACAGTAACATGTTATCGTATATAAATAAATACCGTCATAGCAATCATGATTTTCTAACTGGCGACTAGAAAATATGGAATCTAAGATTGCTGCAACTATGCAAATTACAGTAGCATCAATAGCCCTTCTACTCTATAATATAGTAATAATAAGAAAGACATATTCTGACATAAAAATTTCCAGCCTACCTTTCTTCTTTGAACTTCTTACAACTAGTATTTCCTCGGTATGTAAATTAACGATAGAAAATAATTGTTCCAGTAAAAACGACAAGAAACAAGTATGAAAATTGTTGTTTACGTTTCTATTCAATCGCGTATATAATATAATGATTTCAAAGTAAGAGATAATTGACAAATGGAGCATCGATTCACGCTGCTTTCGCAATGTAAAAATGAATTGACGAAGGATCGAATGAATTGTAAGAAATAAGACTGAGACACATAATTGAAAGACACGAATAAAAATGTCAATTCCATTATTATGCGTGTTTTGTACATACGTACCAAAGTTAGGGCTACCTACGCCTCAACTGGCTTCTTCTTTTCTTTCTTCTTTTTTAGGAAGGAGGGTGTCCTAAGGCCTTTCTTCTTCTTCTTTTCCTTTTTCGGTGATTCCTCGCTAACGCTCACATCCTGCGACACGGAACCCTTAACACGGAAGGTCCCAACCGTAACCATAAACCTTTCTGCATGCACATGCAAGTAGCCAATTCGCTTTTTCCTTTTTTTTCCCCCCTACAAGCCCACGACACGCAACACACGCGCGCGCGTACTCTTTTCTTTCTCGAATCTTTTTTCCTACTTAAAATTATCTGAAACTATCTACCATAGTTCAATTTAACGAATGAGTATATATATATATATATTAGGAGATGGCATTATTTCCAATTTGTTGTTACTTTCTAAATTGTTAGTACATTGCACTTTGCAAATTCGAACTTCTATATGAATATGCAAGATTATAATTTTGTCCATTTCTTCCCGTTCTGTTTAAACTTTTCCTCTGAATGCATACAAAACACACACACGCGCACGCGTGTCCCATCTTTTTTTTCCTTCGCCCCTTAGCGTTTTGCATGATCTTGATTGGTATATAAAAATCGGTCATTCTTAGATTCATGCAAGCGAACACTATTGGCGCACTAGCTTATTCCTAGCATTAATATCACAGTTAATGATGAAGCAGCAGTTGTGTATGATTCTTAAGACTCGTTTGATAACTGAAGATGACATCATGAAGTGAAGATTCGTAAAAGAAAATTTACGATTAGTTTAAGGTAAAAGACCATCGACTAATTTTTTTTTTTTTTTTTTTTTTTTTTTTGAAAGAAAAAAGAAAATGCGAACTAGAGTCATTAGAAATAGTAAAAAAGATAAGAATATGTAACGTCGCTGATAATGTATAAAATAAGTCACGCAATTGACTGTATTTCTTTGTATACGTAAGTAAATAAATTGTAAATAATATTAATTATAATCTTAATCTTTTATACTTATCATCTAAATTTTTATTATTTTAATGAAATCATTTACCTTTTTCTCTGATTTTTAACTCTTAATCTCTTACCTCTTTTTTCTTTAGTATTTTAGAAACCAATTTTACTAAATAGTTAGTGGAT